TGCAAGACACCATTGCAACTGTCTGATTTCTACTTGTCTAATAGTCAAACCCTGTAAAGTTTTCTTGCTGTTTAACAAGTATCATTGAATGTTTCTTTAACACCATGAGCTGCTCCCACCTTTAACCTTGAGGAGTATCCTTTAAGTTTTATTTATGTTCTGGGAGCACCAAAGATCTATACATTACTTGTCACCATCCAGTTTCTTTATTCTGGAAGCCAAGACATAAGAATAAAAGGTTGCTTCCCTTTGCTTACATACTCCCTGCCTATATATTTCTTATAAACACAAAGCAAAGGAATATTTCTCTGGAGATACATTTTCCTTGACTTTCTGTCCCTCATTGCCTTGAATTTTGAGTGGGTACATCTGAAGTAGAGCTGTTGTGAGTCTATTTACTTCCATTTATATTTCTTGAGGTGGTAACAGAGGGGCAGAATGGCATTTGAGTCCCTCTGAGAGGCTAGTTTATGCTTTGTGACCCATCTGAGATAAAAACTGCAACTATGCTCCAAAACAGAGTCCCAAGAAGAGTTCATGAAAGCTATCACTCCTATTCACCGATGAAGTGCATATAAAATATTGAAATCAATTTTGACACAACCCCTTTCTGTTGAAGTCCATCCAAAAAGACCCAAGTCTATGGACATGAGGATGGGAGTCCTTGCTATATGAAGACTTGTTTTCTATCTGCCTCCTTTATTTTTTCTTCCTTTCTTTCTGCTTTTCTTCTCTAGATCAAGTCTAGATATTACACATTAGTAATAAGAATGGTAGAAAACTTCAGAAAGGAGAAAGATGTGCCACAGAACTATATTTTACCAAGTTCAACTCTGGCTCTAAAGTTTGAAGCCAAGCTGACACCTACCATTTAGAGAGCATGACAATTCCAAAGAACAAGGTAGTAAGTAGCCAGTAATCATGGGCCCAGGCCACTTGAACCTCTGAAGTTGCAATTCCCTGGGCCAAAAGTACTTTTCCACAGATCTTTGCATGGCTGGCTCCTTCAATGATCTCACTTCAAATATTCTAAGCAACCTGTTCTATCCATCTCAAGTATCTTCTTCAACAACAAATCCTCGTCCATTAATATGTTCAAAGACTTAAAGTGCTTACTACCATTGTAACTATTTTCTATTATTGTTTTTGTTTTTCTTATTAAATGTCTGTATCACTAACTAGAATCTAAATTATAGGAGAGGAGAATCTTTTGTCTGCAACATTCATCACTGTATCCTCAGCATTTAGAATGGCTTAAGGAACTCAAGAGACAATCTCAAAAATATTTTGGATAAATGAATGTACAGAACCAACCTGAGGGTCAAAGAGTTTCATATATGATTTTTAAGCCTATACTTTTATACAAATATGTGGCTGATTACAGATATTTGAGGAGTTGTCTCCCAAATGTAACAAAATCTCTAGTGGGAATGTTTCTAAAATGTGCAATTGTTGCTATATTTCTGCTCTATCATTTTTCACAAGTTTCAAAATGTGTCATAAAATATTATTGGGTCAGGGACCAAGCAGGCCACCAGATGGTTGAGAATGATTTATTTCCTTGATTTCAGACTACAGAAGAAAGATTGTAGGAAGAAAGCCAGTTCTTATCTCTAAGCTTACAGAATATGAAAGATAAAAGGGACCTTGATCTTCATCTAGTTCAGACACATTCTTAATTTAAAAACCCATTCTACAGCACCAATGACATGGTTATCTGACCTTGAGTCTAATATTTTTAGTGATGAGACACTCGCTATTTTATAAGATAACCTGTCTCACTACTGGACAGATTTTGATGAGCAAGGTTTTCTTCTATTGAGTCAAATTTTCCTTCCTGTAACTTTGGCCCTTGGAGCAACAATATGCAAAAGTCTAGTTCCTGTTCTGAATTATGAACTTTGAAACATTTGAAGACATCTAAAATATCTTTCCTTAGTGTTCTCAACCTCCCAAATACCTCTGGCTGTTATTCACTTGTTTTTCCTTTTAGATACTCATCTTCCTACTGGACGATCTCTGGACACACTGTAATTAGGAGACATATGTTCTCTAGGACAAAGTAGAATTAATTTTATTTTTAATTATGGATTTAATTGTACTTGTGCCATAACGTCATTAAATGTTCCACTTTTGTAAGTCAACTATGCATCTAATTATGTACTATATCATTAATAATATCAACATCTGTTATTAATTGTAAAATGCAAAAGCAGATTAAGATAATGAATCTCCTACTCAGCCAGAGGTCTGTGTCAAAGTAACATCTTATAACTGGCAATAACAGCCAACTATTGGAAACTGCTTCGTAAAAATATGAAAATATTCTAAATAATCTGGGCCATCAATTTACACATGTTCAGTAATGTGGCTTCTTTCAATCTTTCAATGACAGCCATGTGGAAAGAAAAGCATTCCAATATTAAGTCCTATTAGGAAAAATAATCTAAGACAAGCTAGTAAAAATGAATTTCATTTTTTACAATAACAAAATTATGTTAAATGTTAAACAACATAAAAATAATGAGATTTTTGTCCGTGCTCAAACTTTGTAGGAAGAGGTGGTACACTAGTTTTCTGTTTTGTCATTCTTATAATCTCTGTAATGGTTATAACCACATCATCAGTATTAGTCTCTAAGGCAGACATTAAACTATGGTGTTGTAACCCAATAATTTCCAATACTGACTTGCTACTTTTAAAAACCACAAGTGGGTTAAATTCACACTAGAAAAGCTGGTAGGTTTCAACTAATATGTCTATGCATATTTATACTGTAATCACCTGTTCTTTTAGTAGTCAATAGTAAGTTACAAGGTAATTTAATGTCCACAATTATGTTTGCATTTAATACCATCTCAGCAATATTAAGTACTCTTTTCTGTATTATGGAGCAAATGTGACTTCCTTGAGTTAATTGACTAAACTATTATATACACTAGCCAATAGTACTCAACTTTTACCTAGAGCAAAAGATGTGGCATAATCATTATGGAACCTAGCAAGATGGCCTCAACACTGTTTTGTTCAATAACTGTGTCTTGTATATTCCTTCTCATTGAATCCAAATACTACTAAACATAATATATTCAAAGTGGTAACAGCCAAAGACAATGCTTCTCAGTAAGGAATTAGAAAACATATTTTGACTATCTTTTAAAATAAACAAGTTATTCAACTATTTCAATAATTCTTGTCATGAGCTGGATTACGTCTTCCCAAAATTCACCTTTAATTTATAATCTCCATGGCTCAGCCTATGATAGACTGGAAACGAGGCCATTGCAGATGTAATGAAGCGAAGATGAAGTCACAGTGGAGGAAGGAGGGCAGTGTTTATTAATGGGGAAATTTGGAGACAGACACATACACAGAGAACATCATGAAAATGAAGGCACAGGCCAAGGTTACATTTCTACAAAGCAAGGAATATGAAAGTTACCGCAAACCCATGTAATAGGTTTTTCCTCCCAGATTTGAGAAGGACCAACCCTGCTGACACATGGACTTGAACATCTGCCTTCCAGAACTGTAAGAGAATTTCTGTTGTTGAAGACACTCAGTTTGTAGTACTTTGTTACAGCAACTCTAGTAAACTAGACCAATTCTGAAACTCTTAAAAAAGAAAAAAAAAAAACTATTTGGTACTCTGCTTTCAGGCATGTCGTCAGGGCCTAGAGGATGTTATTTTGAATATCCTTAAATATGGAATATTTTTATCATCTGAGATGAATTTTTAATAGTCAAAAGTTACATCTAAGATGAGAATAATGGATCATGTGCATAGGTAAAACCATATTCTTTTAAATAATTGACTAATTATGGCATCTGAATTAATTATATTAGGATAAACTATATATCTCTATATCTGATTTTGGTAAACAGTCTAAAAATCTTTTCAATAATAGTATTTCCTGTGGAAAAATATAACCTAAGGTAACTATCTTGAACTATGTAAAAATGTATATACATATACATGTGATATATAATCAAACTGTATTATGAATAGTGTAAGTAATTAATTTATGTTAATCAGAGATTTTCCACAGTGCTTTGTGACATCCAGGTATTTGAGTGGAGATGTATCTGGGGAGTGATCCCAGACCCTCAGACTAAGCTGCTACCCTTCCATCCAGATTACATTTTGAGTTTCCACTCTAGACTAAGACTTCCAAATAAAACCTTGTGGAATGATGGAAATGTCCCATAACTGCAGTGACCAGTGTAAGAATCATTAGTCACAGGTGGCTACTGAGCACTGGAAATGCAGCTGGTGCAACTGAGGAACTGAAATTTTAATTTAATAGAAATAACCACAAGGAGCTATCAGCTATTGTACTGGACAGTGTAATTCTAGATTTTAATTTGAAAATAGGATTCCACTGCTAAAAGTGTGAAAAATCACCACTAAAAATGAAGGGACAAGAAATCTTCTTGGAGTTGGCCATGATTTGCATAACTTCTCTTGGGACACACACAATATGTAAATTTCTTGGCACATGGTGGTTGGTTTTAACCACAGGGAGTGTAACACTTCTTTAACAAACTGAAACTGACATGATTAGTCATCAGCCAGCAGGGGGCACTCAACAGCAACATGCACTGTGGAGGCCCTAAAACACATATTCTGCTCAAAGACTTCAAACTCTACCCTGTGTTTCCCAAATGCCCCATTACCCACACATCCTGCATTTGATTGTTTTCAAAAATATCTCTAAGAGTGGGCAACAGAATTTGACTCTGGACAATGAGATTCAAAATCTCAATTAATTATAAAACCTGGTCTTCCCCAGGTTTCCTTTGTCAATAGGTGGTTAGTGTCAAATTACATTGTTTTTTTTTTTAAACATTACATTTAGCTTTATCCTGTTTCCCCACATAGTAGAGAAAAATAAGGCCTTTGAGATTTACACAGAAAATTTCACTGACAAATTGTTTATTCTTCAAAGTTATTTTTTAAAAAATTTTGTCCATGATAAGTTAACCACATATGACCTTACCTCTTGATAAAGATCACTGAGATCTTCCTGGTGGGCCTGTTTGGAACATCCTGGGAATTCCCTAACACAGCAGGAATCCGGAGGCCAGTCCATCTCAGTCATTTCCAACCAGTCAGTGAAATATACCACTCCACAACACTTAAACTGCAAAAGAATTATTAGAGTGTCTCAGAAACTACAAAAAATATTTTTTTTAACTTATGGGCGATTAAACATTAATTTCTTAAATTTTTGTACTCAGAGATAACCTCACTTCTGTCATCACCTAATGATATGTATACATTCTATGCTGTGGACATTAATGTCATAAAGGAACACCATGGGTAGCCACTCAGCAATGGAACAGTTCTGAACAGTAATGCCCACAACACATAAAAACAGATCAGGTATAACTGAGTCTCACTCTCCAACTATAAGACCCTCTACTGGTTAGCATATAGTGACATATTTAGTACATACACTAACAAATCCAGTAACTAAAATTTTATGGACCATTAACTTCCACTCACTAGAGAGTAGTTACTCAATTTTTATACCACCTAGTTACTGGTCTACTGCTCAACAAATTAAAATATTGTATTAAGTTTCCATAATATCTATAGAAATATTTTTTGACTGAAGCCCACATCACAAAGGTAACTAGAATTGTATTCCTTAATGAGTAAAACTTCCAAAAATTTTGGGAAATAAACATACATTTGGCTAATATTCCTTCAACAGAATGGTGATTCTCAGAGTAAATTATGGTATTCTATCATGATAGCCTCAGAAAAAAAAAAGATGTCCCTCTAGCTTGAATAAAGTTGGTTTTAAGAAAAGCTATATTGTCTTTCTTAAACTACATTTAAGAAAAATATACTGTCTTGTTCTGTTTTATTTCACCACAGGTTAGCAAAAAACTTTCTCTGAGCAAGGTATAGAAACACTGTTTAAATAAATGTATAGATTAAATTCAGAACAATTAACTGATGAATAATTGTTTGACCTTGGATAAAGGAGGGATACTCTTCCATATAAAGAAGCAAGGAATATGCTCTGTCTTGGAGAAGAACCCTGGCTATGCAAATTACGTAGCCTAAGAGATTGATCTGTGTTCAAGATTAACACTGAATCATTAAGTCTCACAATCCACCAACATTTCAAAGAATAATTAAAACTGATTAGAGAATTCTGTCAAAGGAAATACTAATATATATTTTGCCTTTTTTCAGCTGTCTAAATATCTTAGAATTTAAAAGAAAAGAAAATCTTAAAAGTGTTATAAATGATAACAACTGAAAGCTATGAGTACTACTAAAATTGAGCTTTTTAAATATTTTTAGCAATTTCCTTTTATAAATGTGTTCTAAAAGCCATAAATATACCATAAACTCTACAAATTAAGTCAAGTTCTAAAAGCCACGAGTATAACATAAACATCAAGGATTAAGTCAGATGTTATTTGACATCATATATTTTATATAATTCATTTAGTATCCTTTAAAAAAATTATAGTAAAAAGCCTTCACTTTCTAAAAGTCATAAACAACTGCACTTCCAAGTCAGTCTTTTTAAATCCTTGCACTCAGAAAAATCTCATTTCTCTCATTTCCTAGTGACAGCAGTCCTTTCTGTGTTGATGACAGAAGCGCAGTTCTTGGAACACGCTAACTCCGTCCACAGTGAAACAGCCCATTTATCTGCCTTTGTCAGGAAATGAGGTGTTCCACAGAAATGACTTTTCCAAATAACTTAAGCATATCATGTTCAGTGCCAAACATTTTTTTTTATTTTAGTAAGTCACTGAAATATTTTTCTTTTATGTAGTTTTCTTCCTTCTTCAATAGAAAATGGTGACTTTGTATTGAAACATTTCCTTGAAACACCTTTAGGTTAAACTCAGTATTACACCAACACATGACTGTAGTCTGCATCTCCTTGTCATTTTCTTCTCTCTTTTAATACTGCATTGTAAGATAGCTCTATGCTGCCTAACACTGAGTGAAAGGCTTGAAAATACCATACAGTCACCATTTTCTGTATGAACAAACTGAAGCCCTTGATGGGTCAAGTAACTTCACAAGGTCACAATGTGGCAGAGTCTATTGATTCCAAGCCTATACTCCAACCACTATGTTAAAATAAATAAATACATACATTTAAAAAAATAGTTTCAAAATACAGTAAATAAATGTTAGTAAGGGTTAAGCAAGAGTCCATTAAGGTGAGGTACAGCACTGAACCAAGAAAGTTGAAACCTGACAAGGTAACTTTGTATTCTATGATTTGTTTTGTAAGAGAGGTGTTATAGGCTGTATTGTGTCCCTGACCCAAATTTATATGTTGAAATTCTAGCCCCCAGTACCTCAGAATGTGATTGTATTTAGAAAGAGGGTCTTTATAGAAGTAATTAAGTTAAAATAAGGTCATTAGGGTAGGCCTTAACCTAATATGAATGGTGTCCTTTCTAAGAAAAGGAAATTTAAACACAGACATAGAGTGGTAAAACAATGTGAAGACAAAGGGAGAAGATAGGTATCTAAAAGCCAAGGAAAGAGGCCTCAGAAAAAACCAATATTGCCAATACCATGATCTTGAATTTCCAGCTTGTGAACCATGAAAAAGTAAGTTTGTATTAAGCCATGCACTGATATGGCAGCAACAGCAGACTAAGGAGCTTTGAAAACTTTTTCAGAGGCCAACCATTCTTCTTTTTATGTGAAATACCCTCATGACGTGAAGGCGAGAACTTGCCAAGTCCCAAAGTAGCGTGCTATCATTTGTGGTGCTTGTATATTGACCATCTACATGGAGCCCCCATTAGGAAAAAAAATTAAAAATAAAAGAACTACTTTGCTTTTTAACCTCACTTATCGTGGTCTACATCATAAATTCCAGAAAATAAAGAGCTCCTGGGAGCTCCTAGCCAAGACAGTAGGAACACAGCTTACTATAAATTCTCTAATGCTTTACCTGTTTGCCCTTTGTGTTGTTTTTAGTACAACTGCACAGTAAACAAACAAAGTCAGGAAGCATTGGAATAACGGGAAATCTGTGTCACAATGGTAACGTCACTGTCTCAACGATTATTACACAAAGAGCCAGATTTGGAGACTGTCCTGGACTTGAACCTCTGCCCATGTCCAGGAAAAGAGTAAATGAGCAGGGAACTGATTGTTGGGTAAGATACTCATTCTTGAATGCTTCATGGTCCAGTGCCAAGACAAATTAAAGGAAACCGAGATACTTGACCATCTGGGATGTCACTCCAATCACAAAGAAACTGCTTAAAGGAAAAGCTTGGTTTGAAGAAAGCCCAATGAGTAACTTCAAGTCACCAGACATTAAACATCTAAAAACAGTCCCCATTTGAGATGGTTGGTTGCATTGGTATATGGCAGTTAAGGAAGAAAAGCCAAAATTCTATGCTTTGTGATATTATTGTTAATAACCACAAACTAAATGAGATCAAACCAATGATTTGATTCAATCCTTTCAATGCTCCAAGAAGGAAGAACATTTTTTTTTTTTAGCAGTACTGGGGTTTGAACTCAAGACCTCAAGATCACTAGGCAGGCACTCTATCACTTCAGAGACTCTGCCAGCCCCCAAAACCTTTATTATCACATTTTATAGGTGAGGAAACTGAGTCTTAAAGAGATTAAGTAGATTATAGAAGCTCACTTAATAGCAGCAGAACTAGGATTTGAACGTAGGTCTTCCTGACTAGAAAGGTCATGCCTTTTATTATATATGTACTGACTCCAAATTTTCAAATAAGAAAAATCTTTTTTTTTCTTTTTTTGGAGGTACTACAGGTTGAACTCATGGCCTTGCACTTGCTAAGCAGGCATGCCGCCACTTGCACCACTCCACTAGGCCAAGAACAATCTCTTAATAATTTAAAATGATAATTAAAGTATATATAACTCTAAAAGTCATGAGAAAATATCTATTCAAATAAAAACTTAGATATTTATCAAATAATATTCGCAAAAAGAAACTTCACTCTAGTTTAGCAAAATAACTTTTAAATAACTGTGTGTGAGTTAGGTGAAATGAAAGGGAAATGCATGGGAAGGAAAGCAGGGCATGGAGTGAGTAAGGGATTTTTCAATTAAATAAATTACAATAGTGCTAACTGGAATGATAGGCTTAATTTTTCAGCACAGATAATATTACCTAAACCAAAACTTTGAACATATACTTTGAAAGTGTAAATTTATTCTATTCTCTGTACTTCAGAAAGGACAGCACTTACCTCTCTCTGAAAAAAATTCCAAGCATGAGTAAGCCACCGATATCTAGGTAAACCATAATTGGTCATTCTGGCTTTCAAAGTAACCATATCTGACCATTGTACTGGAGCCTGGAGATAAAGAGAGAAAAATCAACACACAAACAATCAGACACAGATACACTCACTATTAAAAACACACTATTATTATTATAATTGACAGACAGTGTTTTAAGTTTAGTTTCACTTGTGGCCTAAATAAAGCATAGGTCAATGAGCTCGACATTCAAACAATGACAAACATCAGGAACCAGAAAAGAGCAAAGGGAGAGGTGTGTAAATGAGACTCTAATAGAACTCAAGATTAGAATAATTTTGAAGTCGTATTAGTAAAATTAGTAATATCCAAAGAAGTAGTTTAAAAATTCTTGGCAGAAATTCTTGAATTTTTCCCCTTGCTTATCATCATCATCATCATCATCATCATCATTTATAAATGCATGACACAAAAGACAATGTCCAAACACTTGGGTGCGGAATATTTTTCCCCAAGTAACGAGCTGATTGGTACACTCCGTGTTCAACAAAGTTCAGAGAAATAACCAACGTTCAAGTTCCCCACTATAAATTCTTACTATCTCACATCCTCTCAGGCATGAGATAAATGGAAGCTGAATAAATTCTCAAGAAGTATATAATCTAAAACAGTATTATTGACATATTTTATCTGGAGAATTAATAATGAACAGGAGGTGAACATGTTTAAACAAAAATAATGAGGAAACATACTGATGTCAAATCTCTTGATTTAGTTAATACAACAATCTTTTTTTTTTTTAATTCTACTTTCCAAGATAAATTTTGGTTGTTTCTTCACTGTGACCACAATCAATCTGAAACCAAATGTGGCAAGAAAACAGAGGAGACATTGAGGTTCTGGCACGAGCTACTGGGATCTGTCCATAAAACAACACACATGCTGACTGATTCCTTGCATGGAACAGCTAAAAGCACAAAGTCCATTTTATGTAAAGGCTGGGTTCTGCAAAATTTGGCAGATAATAAACTTTAATGGCACTTTTCATTCACACTGTTATTAATACAGAAGTAATAAAAAATGTGAACTTTTGTTTTTTGAAGACTGCTTTCCACATTTCACTTTCAAACAGCCCTTGCTCTATCTGGTGATGTAATGGGGAAGATTTACACATGCAAAATGATGTACGCCCTCAACTGAAATGGCAGTGTGCACTTACTCAGTTCCTCAGCACTCATGAACCACTTGCAGACTGTCCCTTAATGGAATACAATATCTAAACAAATATGAATTCCTTTCAGTTTCCTCATTTATTTTTAGAATTGCATTAGAATCAAAATATTACCCTTCAAACACCTTGAATTTATTCATTTTAAACTTGCTACAACTTGGGAGATTTATCTTGTATCAGTAGGATACATACACTATTCAGTTCATTTAAAAAATCCACAGAAAGTAAACTTTTTCCTTAAAATCTCTTAATTACCAAACAGAACACAATCAGAAGTTGAAGTAACAGAATCAAGATCTGCTCTTCTGCTTGAATGCCAGGGATGTAAATTTATTATTTGAAAACAGAAAAATTTAAGAAACAATCTCTTTACCACTAAAACACAAAAATCAAGTCTTTGCTTGATTTTTCACTTTCCTAAATTATCAAAATTTCTAGGGATAACCTGAAAATGTACTCTAAAAGACAGCAAGAGAGTTCCTATTTTAATAGGAGATTTTGTTTTGAAGAAAGTTCTTTATTTACATTAAGCTGCTGAGAACTTGCCCTAACTTTTCAATTTTTCAGTAATTCTCTCATCTCCCTGAGAATCATCATACATTGGAAGCATGAGTATCTTCACAGGGCACCTAAGTGACAGGGCCAATGCATCCCAGACCTGTAAATTGCAGAGTATCCACTGCTCTGTGTTCCACTTAATTTTCAAAACAGTCTCACAACAGGAGCAGAATCACCACTGAATCTTTAATAACTGTGTCAGCACCAGAAGCAACTTCAATTTTATTTTACAATCTCCTAATGCCCCTCTTTTCTCTGAATCAAACACAAAATAATCACCTTCACTCTCTTCTTAAGAGGTCTTGAATTTTAAAATACTTAAAACTTACTCGGGAATCTGTGATAAATACAGACACCGAGGCTCTGCCCTTCCTCACCCCTCCATTCTGAATTAAGAATTAAGAATCACAGTTTCAATATTCTATTTTCATAAATGCATATAATGTGAAAGAATGGCAGAGGATGGATATGATCAAATTGCATTATATGCCTGTATAGAAATATAATGAAACCCCTTTGTATAATTACTGTATGTTAATTTAAAAAAAAGTGTACTTTAAGTCACCTTGCATGACTCCTACTGCAGATGGTGCAAGAACTAAATGTTGAAAAGCACCATCTTACTGAAACAGAATTACTCTATCAGGCTTATGTAGAAAAAACTGGCCAACCTCCATGAAAACGCCAGCATTCACAGACATGCAAAGGTGCTTCACCCTACTGGGAATAAATACATTAAATTTCACCACTGACATGGATCAAGCTAATACCCAGTATCGGCAAGGGTGAAGTGCAAATGGCAAACCAAATGGAAAAAAATCTTAAGATTGAGAATCTCCTCTCCTCATTCATTCTAACAAAGCTTTAAAGGTTGTTAGGGTGGTTTCAATGGCTGAAATAGAAGAGAAAAAATGCTGGAGAACTGTTTTCAAGTAGCCACGTCTCAAGCTGTAAGAGTTTCTAGGCTACAACAAACATACAGCAACTCTTCAAACACATTTCTAAAAGTGGAATATGGTTCCTGTGCTGTACACAGGAGATGGAGGCTTCCAGTCACTGGTTGCTGCTGTGGTCAGCATCATTTAAGGCTCTAAGAAAGTGTTCAACATTTTCAGACAAATGAAGTTGCATGTGCAAATCTTTCCTATTATTGACTCAGGAGTTAGTAAAATTATTTTAGAACATATACTAGTTTAGCCATATTTGAGTAATATGTGAAATTAAGGACATACGCCATTGTATGCCAAATAAAATATTACGGCTTGGAAATGTGCTTTAGATGCCAAAAAGAAAATATTATTTTTCAGAAGTAATGGGGCTGTTCATTATTATCATGCAGCATGAATATGCAAATTAGCAATCACATCCTTAAATTACTTAGGCTGTGATTTATCCCACTTTGAACTCACCATCAGTTCCTGTTCATATGTCCAAACTCCACAAGCCAGTTCTACACAGAAAATGACAAGTAAACTTCCAAAGTACTGTAGAAAAACAAAAGTATGCCATTGGTATTGAACCCAAATAAAGTGTGGTCACTATAGATAAGTATTTTCAGTGTTCTTTATCTCATGGACTAGAAAACAAAGGACCATTTTCAGACAGCAGATGAGCAAAATTTCAGCAAATTTAGAAACACCTGTGAATAACATTCAATAATGACTTAAGTGGGGCCATTGTTATGAGTTAATTCCTGGGACAAATATTTTATAAATCCCAATACTAACATTAGGCTAAATATGATTACATGTTATAGTTTGATGAAAACTACGATCAAGGTCTCTGAGAAAATGGACCTAGTTTCTCTCAAAGTAGATGAGATGAGGTTAAAAAAAAATCACTGTTCTACTTATGAGCATTCATTAACTCATTCTTCTAAACAAGGGGGGGCCTCCTTCGAATTCTTAGACAAGCACAATGTAGAGTGAAATTCCAACTACTGATGACAATTTAAAATGCACAGTGAGTTACTGTTAAGGGAAAGGCATGTGTAGTTTATAGAAGAATATCAGAAATTTTGGCTAGGCATGCGTAGGAAAATAAATAACATGAAGTTGAATGCAATATCAAAAACAGAAAGGATAAAAATTCAGGATTCCTATGAAATAGAGAATCGTGCAGGGTCATAGACAGGGAGGAAAAATAGAACAAAGAGGAAAAGTGAGCACTTTAAGCAAACAAATAACATGAACAAGTATGCAGAGGAAGCCGAAAAGCACAGCAAATGATCAGGGAACAGGACACAGATCCATCTTGCAGAAAGAGAAGTGACAGACGATGAAATGTGAAAGGCAGATTGAAGCCAGATTATGGACTTGAAATAACACACTACTGGACTTAAGTCTATCAAATAAATAATAAGGAGGCATGATAAGCTCATTAAATTATGGTAGGGTTCTAACTGGTTTGGAAGAGAAAGGCTGAGGAGGTAGGCTGAAAATCCCTTAGAAGGCAGCAAAAACAAGGCATAAGGTAAAGAACTGAATTTAGAGAGTGACCTTGCAAACAGGTGGAAAAGAATAGCTCCAAGTGTTATAACAAAGAAAACCTGCATGATATTGAACTGACTGGATTTAGAAACTGAGGCTGAAAGATGCATCTCCCCAAAACAGAGAAATGGGAAGGGGTAACTAGTTTTGTGGGAAGATGAAAATGTTCACTTTATTTGAGCATCATAGAAATGTATACCAACTATTGGAAATATCAGTTTGGAACTTATGTACCCAAGGGTGGAATTGGAAATTACCACTATGATCAGAAGCAAAGATAGTAACTTTTGAATGATACTTTATTCACCAAATATTTTCATAATTAATCTATTCAAGAACTTTATAAAATGGATAGGGCTGTATCCCATTTTAGAAATGAGGAAATCAATGCATAAAGTAGGTAATGTAACTTAAGAATATGCACAGTAAATTTTGGAGGGCTGGACCACTGTAGCAGTATTCTGTGTTCCTTGCTGGGGAACCTCCTCAGCTGGGGAGGTATTTCTACTGAGACAAGTAGTAAAAGTGTGAGAATGAATAGACTCTGAAAGTTCTCTTCACGAATTCCAGCAGGAGCAAAACATCACTGAGCTCATCAATCTTCCACTTCACTTACAGTGTGGGGTTGAGGTGGGAGTACTAAGCAATGATGACCACTGGTTATCTGCTTCACTGGGATGAAGACTTCATTAAGGGTGGGCACTTTGTGTTCCTTATCATATAACAAGTGTTCAATAACACTTATATTTGTAACATAACAGAGTAAGTGAAAACAAAACAAAGAAGAGTGATTTGATAGTGATTGGTCAGTGATCTGGAAAGATCTCGTGATAAAGGTAGTCTTTAAGATGAAAGTGGAAAGGAGAAAGAGAGAATGGTGTTAGGATCTGAGCAAAACTAATCCAGGAAAAGGAAGCATAAAATGCAAAGCCACTTTACTGGTGAGCTAGATAAAACTCATTAGTGACTCAAGTGCTGAAGGGATGGGATAGGTAGAGTGAGAGCAAAGTAGATGTTGGGTATAAAGAGTCAGATGCCCTTGGGCCAGGGAAAGGATTTTGCATATTATCTAAGTGTAATAGAAATTCAGTAGCAGGGACAAGATTTGAAGCATGCAAAAACAATTCTAACTCCTTTGAAGGAAACAACCTAAAAAAAATAAGGGTGCAATGACGGCAACATACATAATGGGAGTTGGGTGATGATGGTAGCAGGAAAAGGGAAAAGTGAGTTACCAGGGCTTACATTTTGAATTTCTTTACTCATACTTTTTGCTAAAAGGGGGGGGGGGTAGGGGAGAGTAATAAAAGGTACAGAAAATTGGACTGATGTTCTACTTCTATGATATAGTCCTTATGATTAAAAAATACAAATCACTACTATTAGCTTTAATTTGCTTCCCTCATAACTGAAATGAAATGAATACTATACTCTCTTAGTAACATAGCTTGAAAATAATAGTTCAAAAGATAAAGTAGTATTTTGTTAAGAGGATTTTATTTTACAAGTTACTTTTATTTTCAGCATTTGTAGTACTTAGGGTCAGCTTTAATACTCAGATCTCATTTCCAAGTGTTGTTATTTCTGGGATTTAATTTAAAGGGTTCAGCCTTGAACTGATTAGAAGAAATTCAGTGAACACAGAACTCTAAGTCAGTTTTTCTCTCAACTCTCTTTAATGCTTTACTTAAGAGATTTTTAGACATGAAAATATTATATTTGCTTCTATGTTACAAAGAGACCAGATGCTCAGTAGTTACATGATCAATCAGTTTTCTTACTTTGCTAAGATAAGAAAAGACCCAAGGAAGCAGTGAAACTCTAGAGAAAATTACACTATGGGACATCTGTGCTCTCTCTGATCTTTACCCTGAATTATTTTCAAAACTGATGTCTGCTTACAGTAAAAACCAAAGTAGCTCTCAAAAGGCAAGCTCTCTCTAAGGATAAAACATGGCCATGGATGGTAATTATGTATGGTGAGAACAGGAGACCTCCTGACTTTGACTTGCAGATAACCACACAGGATTCTGGACTGATTTGTGTCCTTTGAAATCCCTTTGAGTCATCACTCTTGTTTCCTGCCTTCCGGAGTCAATGATGAGTGGGCAAATGCCTGGGCTACACTGACAGAAACGTCCAGGCACAGAGCAAGCGATGGGCAAGTACCTAGATGTATGCAATGTGTGCAAGACCTGAGTAATTGCCAGCCCAGTGGATCTAAACCACAAGCATATAATAACAGCAGGCATACTATCACCTTTGATTGCTCAAGATGAGCATTACGATGGACTGGCAATACCAGAACTTAGGGATCCAAAGGAATGCATGTGCAAAGCATATAAATCTAAAACAATCTTTTGGATTACCAAAACTCAAACCCAAAACTGAGATTACCAATCATGGGAGAGAGGGGTAAATTACTCATAATTTGGTCAGTCTTTTAACTCTGGAAAAAATTCCAAAATGATCATGTCTTTCAGATTTCTAACAGCTTTATTTGACATAGTTTCTCCCATACAAAACAATTATTTTGTCTTTATCCACAAACACTAAAGAACACTGGTCCATTTGACCTTGAAGTTGAAAATACAAGTTTCATTAACATCACAAAACTTTCTTGAAGTAAATTAAATGTATAAGTTAATTCAAATAAAGTATTTTTACAAATGATGTTGCAGTTTCCTGGTCAAAAGGTAGCTGTATTTTTGCTTTGTTCCTACTGAATTGGCCTGAAACAGCCAGTCTTCCAATTCTGGGAACATTCTAAATATCAAATCCATCTGTAATACAACATACTAGATCAATTGCATTACTCCTAAATCTTCTTTTTCAGTGAGGCATTGATAGAGTCATCCTAACACTGCTCACTGCATAGAGAATCATTCAATCACTATTTAACTAAGTGTGGATGTGGGGCAGGGTGGGGGGAAAGTTGAAGCATCTTAAATCATGTTAACCCATGGTTTCAATAGAACGAAACTAGCAAAAAATTAAGTGACAGCTCCATGGAGCTTTGCTATGGCATGAAGTGTCCAGCCACATCACATTTCAATGCACAATCATTTGCTGTCCTCAGCATTATGTGTGAACATAAATACATAGCCATTGGTGGAATCAGTCAGCATGCACCTCTGGCCTTCTCATTTTCCCAGTGCATGAGGTTTGACCAGATGGCCTGCACCAGCCAGGTTTGCAGAGCAATTCACCCTTTCTTTTTTTTGTGTGCTTTCCCTCTAGAATGGTGGAAAGAGCTCTAAATCTGGAGTCAAGTTTTAAGTTCAAAACCAGCTCTAAAACACACTGCACCATCTTTGGCAAATCACGTAACTTCTCTGGTGTCCGTCTGCTAATCTGTTAACGAAGATGAAAATAAAGCTGTCTTGCAGTTGTCAAGGATGACTCGGTACTTGTGAAGGTGTAACGTGTGATACAAATGCTCTACTGTACAGGTCTGTGAAACACAATCCAGTATTGACTTTTCCTCTCCTCCCGTACCTAGCCCTCGTTTCCTGCAATGTGCTACTGTTTCTTCCAGGGGATCACTTCCAGTTCTTCACCATTTTACTTTTCTCTTTCTTTCAGGGTACAGACTTTCCTCATCTACTGTATTTCAGGCCTCAAAGCCTTTTACTTTAAATCATGTGGCTATCTTACCCACAAATCCCAGTGCTCACTCAACAGGCAGTCCATCTGTTTGGTCTGGTAAAATCTTGTTTTAAACATCATTTTAATCCAGTGTCTAAGAAGTAATTGTTACACAGCAGGTATTCAATAAATGTCAGTGGAAATAATGATCAGTTTACCAACTGAAAAGGCCAATTTCAACATTTTCTTAGGTTTCTCTGCCTTGAGTTTCTTGTTAACATTGACTCCCCTTGATTTCTGCCTACACATTTCTATTTTAAATACTGCCTCTCTGTTTTATGAGTGTCTGTTCTCATAATCCAGCATGTCTTGAAGCATTTAAGACCATTTACATAGTTAAAGAAAGG